AAGGGCTTTTTTGGTGTTCCTGAATCGACGGCAACTGGGATAGTAGGGGAGGAAGGCTGGTGGTGTTGGTAGGAGGACGATGAATGAGCCTCGTGGTGGTGGTGGGGATTGAAGAAGTTGAAGATGGAGTCTCCATTTTTTCTTTTCTTTCTCTGCTAAAATTAGGTCAAGTTTTTCGATGGTTTTTTTTTCCTCGATCTTAAGACAATGACCAGTAGTGTTCCATTGATTATCCTTGTAATATTTAGTTCTTATTGTTGGATTATTCAATTAATTATGACATGCTCTGCGGTTATATAAGCATGTTTGTCAATAACTGTAATACCTCGCTCTTTGGAACTTCACATTTTAGTGAGTATACACGATATGAAAGATTAATCCTGGTTTCATGCCACTCTCTTATTAACTGAATTAATTGACTTCAGTGACTGGTGGTGGATTCCACCCCCCAATAACCTGTTCAAGAATCCTTTTTGCTTTTTCGTAGTGGGTGGCTCTGTTTCCACCCCATAAACACAGTTAACAACTTATGCTTGTTTTTCGCATGTATTTCACCATGTTTCTCTGTGATGAAAGCCAATTAATGCTTGCTTTTACAGGTACATTTTCCCATCCTTAATAGCAACTGAAGATGGTATCTAACCATAGACAGTTGTTATCATATTTTCTGGGGCCATCGAAAGGTTATCTGTGTTTCTTCAGGAAGAGGTTGAACTTGAACACCCCATACCTTCATTGGGCACTGGCAGTTGCATAGGAAAGAACGAGTGTCGGGCCAACTAAATTTCTAAATAAGATGCTTGAACAAGATGATAGGAAGTTTAATTGTTATGCTCGTATGGCAGTTCTTTTATCCCCCTGGATGGTCAACTTGGTACCCACGTTTTAGTTTCAAGTATGACTCTTCTACTTTCTAATCTCTCTCCTTAACTTACACCCCTCACTTTGCATTTTATTTTCCATACTTTTATTGGATTGATACTTTAAGAATTTTTATATTATTATTTTGTTTAGTCTGCCTACCAATATTTGTCCACTTATCAATTTTATTTAATCACCACTTTAATAGACAGTGGCAGCAAAACATGATAGCGGTGGTTTATAAATTGCATTTGAACCATCCTTTATGATTCTGAAGCTTCGTTCTTGGTAAGTCCTAGATGTGTCCATAACTGTTAGCATAACTGAAATTCTTTCTAATCAATGAGGTAGTGACGTATAACAAAGTTTCGTGATTGGTAGGTACCTCAACCTCCTACTGATTTTACACTCCTGTGTAGTCTATAGATTTTTGTAGTGTGGAATCAGCGGCGACTGGGGTGGAGGGAGTGGAAGGGGAGGAAGGCTGGTGGTGGTCGTAGGAGGACGAGGACTGAGTGTAGCAATGGTGGTAGGGATTGAAGCATTTGAAGATGGAGAACCCCATCTTTTGTTTTCTTTCTCAGTTATTTATCAAAATGGCAGTTAGAGAGAATAAAATTATCATAATTCGCTAAGCAATGTGTGTCGGTGTTCATATTGTAAGGGCTTGGGGTGTCAAATTCTGCTATATACGAGAGTTATGTCCGATCACTCTTCATCCAGAACTCGATATGAGAATTCTGCTTCTAATCTTTTTCCTTAGTTTAAAAGTTATGCTCAATGTTTTCATATATAATTAAAATTAGTTCCAGATATGGTACAGTGCTTGGAGAGGGAGGGTTTGGTAGGGTTTATAAAGGTTGGCTTGACGAGTGCATAACTATAGCAGTGATGTTTGGATTTGTCTTTCTTTTCTCATTTTCATTTCAGCTCTAGTTTTCATTCTCTCTTCAGTAATGCCAAGTCTAGTCATTTTCTCAATGTTTATTTAGCTGCTCAGAGGTTCAATTCATTGGCCAACGAGTCCATTTTTTGTTGTTTGCTTCAGTTTGTTGCAGAGTGCGGATGTTGTTTCATCAATACTCTTATTTAGCTGTTTAGAGTGCTCAATGGTAGTGTTTTCCCTGTTGTTTGCAAGTGTGAAGCTGGAGAGTTTTGGATTGGACTGTAACCATCTTATTTGAACTACAACATATAAATTTTGGTGAGATTTCTAGGTTACACTACTGAAGGTCCTCTCCTATAAGTTTCAGTCGAAAGGAAGAATGCTGCTAACATTATGTTATGTAGAAGATGAGCCTTAGTATTTGTGTATGGAAGCATTTTATATTATGCATTTAATTTGTCAATTCTCTATTTCTTAGTATTTTGTAATTGTATGGAAATAGCACTACTGCTTTCCTAGAGTTTCATATATAATGAAGTGTAATGTTGACTTGATTTGTATTAAGGAATGCAGAGCAGGATAATTAGGAAGTTTCTGAAATTAAAGCTTGACCGAATAACAATGTTGCTTGGATCTATCTGAATCTGATAACAATTTTATTATTTTCTTATATATAATAATGACAACATGGATTTAGCAAATGTGCAGGACAATTTCGTATATTTGTATTGATACCCAAAGTTTCATCACCATATTTCTAACAGTTGTAAATGCAGATTACAACTTAAGCATGCATTTACATGTCCTATTTAATATATAATTAAATTGCAGCACAACCACAACTAGGTTCTATATTGACGTGGAGAGCATCGATTTTTAAACGTATCCTTTCTTGGTGGCAGTTAGTTCTGCAACTTACCATTAACGACCAAACTAAATCAATCATTTGCCCAATTAACATATATTTTTTCTGAACTTTAATATACCAAGGTTATTAATTTTAGCTAAATCTGATTCAAATTGACTGTTTTTCATGAACACACTTCCAATACACTAAAACTCACATCATTGCCAATAATACAACGGTTCTTATCTATCGTCACATAAATTGCCCGATCATGTTGATGCAATTTTTTTAGTCCCCGTGGCTAGGACTGGAAGTTTGGTACCGGTATTTGGGATATACTGAATAGCGTACCGAATTTGTCTATATTTGGTATTACCGAATACACGTATTATTTCTTGGGATTGGGATTAATTTCAATTGTTATTCGGTATTAGCGATTACGAGATTGAGATCGGTATATACCGAAATACCGAACAACAACGAAATATAAGCTAGTGTGTATTATCAGGCCCGGCCCAGGCCCTGTGCTGGTCAGACCCACAGCACAGGGCCTCAACTTTTCGGGGGCCTCATAAGTCACAATCCATTAAATCGGGAATTCGGAGGCAGATCGAACTTGGGCTTCGACGTGGGCCTCATAATCGCAGGCGGAGCAGACCCCTCGGGCTTCGACGTGGGCCTGATAATCGCAGGCGGAGCAGACCCCTTGGGCTTGCAAAGCGGCCCACATAAAAACAGACATGCACAAGAGTATCTTGTGACGGGATGGAGAATCGAACCGCTGACCTCCATTTCATTAAAAAGAGAATCAACCACTTAGCTCAAAGTCATTTGATGAAACAAAATTAACAATAAAGATCTTTAACGTCTCTCTTCTTCTATTCCCCAAAAATTTTCAACTTTCTTAAACCATCCAACGCCTAAATATTAATTATTCACACTCAATTCTAATGAACTTCTAATCAATGTCCATCCCTATTATCCAAGCACATAATCGACTTATCTTAATTTTTAAGTTCTTTTTTCTTTCTCTTTTGCAGGGAACTTAATATTGATTGGAAATTTGGAATCACTAATCTTTGGTTATAATTTTTAGTTATGTGAACCCAAAATTTTGAAAAAGGTAGTTCTAACATTAAAAGAAAACAGAGAATTAAGGAGTCTGGATACATGTGATTCGAAAATTAGAAGTGAAGCTAAATCATTGGATTGTAAATGTTTAGTAACCGAATTTTTGGGGCCACATTTTAAATTCTTGAACAGGGCCTCCAAATATCATGGGACGGCCCTGTGTATTATATCCTCTCAACTAGACTCTCTCATTCACTACTACACTACCCTCAACCACCAATCTATTGTTATTGTCATAACACCAAAAAGCAAACACTAGTATTAGTCTTCTCTCGACCTCCAATTCGTCAAATTAAAGATTACCAATAACAAATACTTGAGATGTCACCTCTACTCCATTCTCCTTATCCATATCCTAACTCTAGCCAAACTCAAAACTCTTTGTTTAGTCTCTTTGTCCTATATTAAATAATCAAATATAATTTATATATTTAATTATTAATTGTAAAGGTAATTAATTTCTTATTCGATAATACCGATTGAGATACCGAAGTACCGATTGGGATACCGAAATATTTAGGGATTGGGATTGATTCTAGGATGTAATACTAATTCAGTATTAGAGATTTCAGTATTTGGTATGGGATACCGATTCCGAACCGATTTCCACCCCTACCCGTGCTATTAATTATAGTATATTTGACAAAAAGGTGATGTAATATACATTTGCCATGTGTACATACAAGAGTTTTCATCAAAGGAAAAGGAACTAAGGAAGTAAAGAAAAACTATCGAATTTGTGCAAGGAAGTAAAAGGAGCTTCCGACACACTGTAATGGCTGCCTGCTGTGCTGGCTCTCCCAAATGAACCCTTAACAATACCCCCCACTGCCCAAACGAAACGGGCATCTGTCTCCTTTCTTTCTACGCCTGCCTGACTGCCGTTGAGTCATTGATGCTTGTGCTGCTGCCCATTAGGCATTAAAACCATTCTAGTGCATTGCAGAGCAGTTTTGTGGGCAAATTCTCGGTCCCAACGCGCCATCTCTCCTCACGTTCTTCCATGCGCAGACACCGACTACTACCGTCCCACGTAAAAGTCGACAATCTTTCCGTAGTTTTACATTTCCTCCATTCCTTCCTTTAATTTACATCTACTCCTCCTAAAAGCTCTACAAACCACTTTTTTTTTATTTTTTATTCATCGCTTTCTATTTTGTCGAATTTACAAAAGGGGTTCCGGTTTTATTTTCGGGTCGGGTTCTTCGCCGTGTCAGTCCGCATAACTGCTCCGATTAGGCCTGGTTATAATCCTCTTCTTTTCTTTAAATCAAATTAGGCTTGGAGCGTAGTATCAGGGGAGCCCAGGGGGAAACACGTGTCCTCCCCGCCGGTCGTCCACAAGAAGCTGGCGTAACTAGCAGCGTAGAAAGGATTGGCCGGATCCGCAGCAATGGCTTCCAAGAACGTCTCCTCCGCCGCCCACAGGTCGTCCCTCACTTTCCACAGGAAGTTGGCGTATTTGTTGAACGCCTCCGCATCCACCGGCTCCGTCCCAACCGCCCTCTTGAAGTACTCCTCCGCCCTGCAAATACCGGAAAAAGGATCAGTCACCATTATAAAAATCGGCGACGGAAAAGTGGGAAGGCTTGAGAACAAAGGGTCACGGGGAGAAGGTGAGGAAGGAAGTAAGGGGTACCCACTTAAGTCTCTGCATTGAAAAGTATGCAACCAAACCAAAACCACACACTACCCATCTCAAGATCACGCTACCTAGCTAGATTTTGTAAGCATGAAAAGAGACGAAAAGTCAAAAGCTGAAACGTGAACACCCCTGGCCCCGCGCCTTAATTTCCTTCAGCGTGCAGCGAATCTGGAATAAACTATCATCATACATATTACATACTCCCCCGACCCGTTTCTTTGACTCGGTTACCGAATTGGGGAAGTAGCCATGGACACACAGTGTGACTGAAAGCAATAATGATAACAGTAACAACAATGGAGTTTAAGATGTTAAGGACATGGATCAGTATACCTGTCGTGGTCATGGGAAACAAGGCTTAGGAACTGGGCATAATTGGCGAGCAGTAGAGGGTTGTTAGGATCTTCTGCAAGTCCCGTTTGGTACAGCAACTCCGTCCGCAGATAGTCGCCGTAATCGTCGGATTCGATGTTGGCTTCGATGGGTGAAACGAATCTCTTGATGGCCTCTGCATCGATCTTCACTCCTTGAATTCCTGCGGCTTCCTCCACCATCGAATTCCATATCTCCGAAGCTTCTTTCTCTCGGCCCATCCCCTGCTCTGCCTCTTGGCTCGTACCTAGTGCTGACAATTCTGATGCACAATCAGGGACTATCGTCCTCAATTCTTCCGACCCATCTAATGAACCGTCTCCCTCTGTCCCACTGCTGACTGGTCTAACCTTGCCGCCATCACCACCGCCCCCGCCGATGGAAGCGGATTTCCCAGCAGGGGATGACAAGGAAAAGGTCTTGGCCATTGACGAATGGAACTTGTGGTTTATCTGGTCCCGAGTATCGAGAACAGACACGCTTTCCATCGTATAGGAGGCTGGCGGGGGTGGAGCGGCGATTGCATACTGGCTGCCCATGGAGTACACCGTGAAATTGGCGAGGAGAATCATCACGGACACCATGAGAGTAGGTGTATGAGAAAACACCTGCTGAAACAACCATACGAATGAATCGTTCATCTCCTTCTGGACCCGGGCCAGAATCCCTTGTAGATCTTCCGTGAAAAGGAACTCTCTCATCAGCAATGTGTAGCTCTGGATCTCTCGTATTATGAACACCATAGAGGAGAACGCCTTCTTCACTGAGCAACAAGCGGATTCCCCTGCCTCCATCAATCCTTCCTGCCACTGCATCTTTCTTTTTATGATTCGGAGCGATACTGGGATATCCACGCTGTTCGCCTTCCGCTCAATGCTCGCCGGAATCATATCGTGGCTCCCCGGCCAATCTTGGGACTCCCTACTGATGTCCGACCACGGAGGCTCCACCGGGAATCGCCTGTGATCGTGCTCCATATTTACAAAATCTTCCCTGCCCGAATGGCAAGGATGATTACTCGCTGTTTCGGGATGGAAACCTGCAGTCAATTCCAAATCCGCGGCATCGTTCGAGTTTTGGAATCTGAGAGCCAATTCTTGAATTTCCTTGGAAAATTCCTCATCGGAGAAGGCTTCGCTTAGGCTCGCACTGCAAGCTCTCCTCAGCGTCTGTGCTCTTCTGGGCCTGGCATACGCGGAAGACCTTGTCCTGTAAATCTTCGACGATGAAGCTCCTAATAGAGCCAATCTGTCAAGGCGATGTACATAACAGCACATGAGCGCTGCCGCGCCTTCTGCCTGGCACCGCCGTTTCAAAGACGACGGAGATGAGATTGCGGAGGCTAGGGTTCCGTAGGAAGACGACGGACGATGAGGTATAATTTGCTTCGACCACTGAAAACAAGCAGTAGATGCTTCCATTACCGGTAAAAGGTTTTCCAGAAAATCGCCGAACAGAGACTGGTTTGGTGGGAGAAAGGCGGAATCAACCACCGGCGAAGCGTCAGATCTGGTAAAGCTTTAACTGAATCGACTTCACCCTTCTTTTTGCTTTCCCTCCAACTTTTCCTTGCCTCCTTTTACGCAAAAGCCTGAAAGGGGAAGAATCAAGAGCCAAACAAAATGAGCCTCATCTGATCTCTCATAACCAAAACCAAAACAAAAGAAAAGAAAAAAAAGAATGCACAAAAATTGCGAAAATGATATCCCGGTCAATCTCTCACACGGCGAGACGCAGAAAACAGTAGTTTTCCCGGGAAACAAACAACCAGAGAAACACAGTCGGAATCCTCGAAACCAAACACTACTTTCCCGGAAAAATCGGATCAAATGAAAAGTGTAATGGTGGAAGCAATCAAAGCGTCACATATATAGAGGAAAGCGGAAACAGAGTTATTGATGAAGAGAGGCGGTAAAAGATAGGAACGCACCTCAATTTGGGAGGACAGTCTCTTTCTTCTGTGGTTTGATATTTCTTTGGTCGGCGAATAATTCCGGCGAGGAGGAGGAGAAGAAGCGAAGTCCTAGGCGGCACTTCACTCTGTCAGGGAAGGGAGGAACTCGTTCCCTCTGTCACTTATATATATGGCCACTGCACAGGCAGAGTAACGCTGAAGGAAAAGGACAAAAATGATTGTCAGAGTACCCTTTCCGGTTAAAAGGGAATTAAACAAATAATAATAAAGGGTAGGAAAAAGTAAATTTTATTACTTTGCATATGCGTGGGGTTGGGTTACCGGAAGGGCGGGTAGTCGGTCTCCGGCTTGTTAAGCTTGGGGCTGGATCTGCGCGGGCCGCGGGGGGCTGCTAGAAGGTAAGTGGAAGGAAGCTGATATTTGAGTCCAACGCGGCTCAATTCACGGACGATCTGGTTCCCATCAGCCATCACGGGATGCCACGTGTCTACTATGACCGCCACCTCTGTTGCTAATTGGTCGAGTTTGGAAAATAACCGTGATTTCCACCGACCCACTTTATATTTGCTCTCTTGCCACCTGTTACGTATTAAGGAATAGGGATGGCAATGGGCCGGGTTTGCCTAAACTAGGGCTGCAAATTAGCCGAGTCGAGTCGAGTTTTACCCCAGTTTGAGCTCGGCTCGTTAATAAACGAGTTGAGTTCGAGCTCAGCTCGTTTATTAACGAGCATAGTCGAGTCGAGTTCGAGCTAACTTGTTTATTAAAATCTTAAACTTTTAACTGATACTTCATTTTGTATATCATGATACATATGATTTATTTTGTTCATATATCATTTAGCTAATAAATTTTAACTACTCCAAATTATGTTATTTCATAATATCGAAGCAAACTATGATGCATAATTTCTTTTTAAAGTAGAAAATAAGATATATTTGCTCACATACTCAACGTGTTAAACTTTATATATGGTGAGATATATAATTTAACAACCATATGAATTAAAATCATAAGGTATAGATTGATTCGTCCATAAGTTGGTAATCGAGTTGGCTCTCTAGCCACATGTTAAGACATATCATGAGCTCTAAGCGAGCCAGCTCACGAGTTTAGCTCAACAAGCCATCGAGTCGAGTTAGCTCGCGAGCTTCACGAGCTGAACAAAGGTGAGCTCGTGTTCGGCTCGTTTATTAACGAGTCGAGTTTCGAACGAGCTTTTCTCGAGTCGAACGCCGAGCCGCTCGCGAGCTGCTCGGCTCATTTGCAGCCCTAGCCTAAACCATCCCCATCTCATCTCCATCTTCAGATACCCAAACCCATACCCGCCCCATATCCGCCCATACCCATGCGTGAGAATGTTTTGTAAACACATTCCCATACCCGTGGGTTTCGGGTACCCATGGGTAATACTCATACCCGTACATCCAACATTATTATACCTAAAACTTACAAGGAAAGTTTTAATTATAACTCTAAACGAACATATTATATCATGAAGTCAACAAAACATAGTCATTTTTTAATATGGTTTAAAGAATATGATCCTAAAATATCCATTAATACATAAAATAGAGTATAATATTTTTCAAATTATTGTGTTTTAACTCTGATACATCTATTAAGTAATAATTAACTAACATAATCTTGTTGACAAGGGGGAAAGTGAAAGAGTGAAATGAGAATTGAGAGAAATGAATTAGATTTTGATTAAGATGGTCACTCAATTGCATTTTCTCAAGTTATCCTCATCATAATTGATAGATTATAACTTGATGCACATATTTTTTTATATGTGAAGAAATTCTATTGGTGGGGTGGGTATGGGTATGGGGCGGGGGGAGGCTAAAACCAAACCCACCCCATACCCATCAAAATTTTTTGTGGATTTTACCCATACCTGCCACACACCCGGTCAAAGCGGGAATTTTCCGCGTTGACTGGGTCGGGGGCGGTCGGATACCCGCGGCCATGGGTTTGATTGTCATCCCTATTAAGGACCGGAAGCCCGGATGAGGTGGCAAAGGAGTGGCTTTTGATCGAGGATTGAAAATCGTATTGTATTAGCTGTTCAATCGGGGAAAAATCTCAAATTAAATGGTATTTGACGGTATGAAATAGTTAAACCATAGTTAAACTAAGATTTCAACATAAATTATTGTATCATTGACGTTTTTGGTACAATAACTGCTACAATTTGACAATTCTTGCTTTTGACAACAAACAAAACACATATGGGGTCGTTTGGATTAGGAATTTTAATGGATCACTCTGACACAATTGTCTCGTTTTGAGTCAATTGTGCTAGATTGATCCGTTTGGCAGCAGAAAATTTGAATGATGCAATTTGGGCTGGGGAATTCTGAATTGACTCATTTTGAGCTAATTACAATTGTCTTGGGTGGGGACAGGTAATCTAAATTGACTCGTTTTGTAAAATGAAACAATTGATCAAATTGTCTCGTTTTACAATTGATCCATCCAAACGACCCCAACATTATTGGTTTTGTGTTTCGTCCACGATTTTACAATTCTTGCTTTTGGCAACGGCCAAAACACATAAACATCATTGGTTTTGTGTTTCATCCCATGGTTATTATTGTTACGATTTTTGAGCGGGGCATTTTGGTGTTGTGAATTTGCTAATGACGCTTATTTCTGGGCAGGGACGCCTGTTATTTTTTCTTCAAATGACTTTTCACTTTTTAGTCTCTTCTACTCCTCAATTGTCTTCATTTGTATTCTGTGCAGTTTTTCACAGGGTTCATGAAACCGTATCGTACCGGCGGTTCAACCACAAAAAATCAGTATCGGAGCTAAAACGGTAGACGGTATTTAACGTTATTAACGGTTGAACTACAGTTAAACAACGGTTTTGTCATAAAATACCCTACCATTGACTTTTCCGGTACGGTTTCATCGACCATGGTTTTTCGACGTTTAGTTCTCCATTTTCATATATCAACGATTGTTTTTTTGTTTTTTTTGTTCTTCATGTGTGGCTATTTTTATATATTTGGTGATTCACTGATACGAATGTATTTTTTATTGGCGTTTCTATGTTATGTCATTGTTTACAGTGGCGAAACTAGAAGTCCGTATCAGGTGTATCCTTCTATATGATAATAAATATTGAAAATATATATCCTCCGTTAATATATGGTAGAGTTTTGTTAATATATGGTAGAGTTTTGTGTACTTTTCTCCATTTCAAATTTCCTGTAACGAGAGTGAAAGTAGGAAGGTCATTTTTGTCTTTACACATTTATTATTTATTTCATATAAAAATAGCAATATCAAGATTTGAACCCGATTCTCTTCAAGCAAAGATAACAATTACAACTAGTAACACTAAACAAATTTATTGCATCATGTTTGATACAAAACATAGACAAAGTTAATCTCTGAAAATCAGAGGACTTTTTCATCATAATTAGCAAGCTCACTAAGTCTACCGTATGTATTTTTATCGAGCTTGATACTTCTACTTTTATAGTAGAGTTTCATGTAATTTTCTCAATTTTAAATTCCCGCTCTCTCCTTAATTTTTGCTAAAGGTAAATGGGTAATTGGCTAACATGGAGGAAACTAATTATGTAACTACGTGTTGTATCCTTGAATTTTTCAATTTAAATTTAAATTTTGTGATTTTGTATCTTTGTTCTTTTCTCTTTCTAACTTCCTCCGAAATTTCATCCTTCGTGCAATAGTTTGGGCCTTTCACTTCCCAGTACAAGACTGTCATTGAAAATCAATCTTCAGGTATCTCTTGGCACTACGGTTTTACTGTTGGGGATTTTAAGCTGGGCGAGTAGAAGATTTCAACTCCGATATCAATCCTTGGTGAATAGAATGGAGTTCATCAATAACTGGAGTTGTAGAAGGAGGATTAGAAATTGAATTTTTGGTTGAATATATGCCTCTTGAGATAGAAATTTGGTTGTACAATGGAGAGTGGGGGCTATTGGATCTTTAGGTTTATGGTTTTTACAATTGTCACAACCTATTTCTATCTTAAAACGAGGAATCATTGATTGATTGTTTGAAATAGGTCGCTTCTTTATTCAACCTACTGGAACTAATAGATAAGGAGTGTCTAATTTTGCGCCTTATTACTTTGATCGAGTCTATTCGTATATTGGAGATAACCCTGATTTTTTCGCTTGCTCTAAAGTTGTGATGGTCCCCTCTTAGCTGAGTTTTTAGTATATAGATGACTTGAATCAACAACTCTCCATTTCTTTTTGATTAGTGACATATTGTTTCTAAAAGCAGAGCATTGAACCCTTTATATAGGATTGTGAGGTTTAAGATTTAGTTTCAAACTATCTATGGGTTGTGTGAGAATTTCAGTGAGCTTTTATACTCTATATTTCTTGACTGTAAAAAAAAAACTAACCAATAGCATTTTAACAGGAACTTAATTAGCATTATGAAAATGGGGTCAATGATACATTTTTATATTTTATATTCTTAAATGATATTTCTCCGAATGTTCGACCTATA